GAGCTACTCGCACGCAAAGTTGGCAAAATCGCTAAAAGTTGCCAAATCAACCGTTACAAATGTAATTAAAGTGTTTGGGGAACGTTTGTCGACAGCCAGGAAGTCTGGATCGGGGGGAAATCGAAAACCGGAAGCCGCTGAGACGACAAAGAGAGTTGCCGGTAGTTTCAAGCGAAACCCTAACCTCTCTCTCCGAGATGCCGCAAATAAGCTGGGTGTATCGTCTACAACCGTGCATCGAGCCAAAAAACGAGCCGGACTATCGACTTACAAGAAGGTAGTGACTCCAAATCGCGATGATAAACAAAATACGACGGCCAAAGCGCGATCCCGGAGGCTGTACACGACGATGCTGACGAAGTTTGACTGCGTGGTAATGGACGACGAAACCTACGTCAAAGCCGACTACAAGCAGCTTCCGGGACAGGAGTTTTATACGGCAAAAGGAAGGGGAAAGGTAGCAGATGTTTTCAAGCACATGAAACTGTCAAAGTTCGCAAAGAAATATCTGGTTTGGCAAGCCATCTGTACCTGTGGCTTGAAAAGCAGCATTTTCATAGCTTCCGGGACTGTCAACCAAGAAATTTACGTGAAAGAGTGTTTGAATAAACGTCTGCTGCCTTTCCTGAAGAAACACGGTTGTTCCGTACTGTTTTGGCCGGATTTGGCATCTTGCCATTACGGTAAAAAGGCCATGGAGTGGTACGCCGCCAACAACGTGCAGGTGGTTCCCAAGGACAAGAACCCTCCCAACACGCCAGAGCTCCGCCCAATTCAGAAATACTGGGCTATTGTCAAGCGGAACCTAAAGAAGACCAAAAAAACTGCTAAGGGCGAGCAGCAGTTCAAGGCAAACTGGCTTTCTGCGGCGAAGAAGGTGGACAAGGTGGCTGTACAAAATCTGATGGCAGGGGTCAAGCGTAAGGCCCGGCAATTCGGATTTGGAAAAGCGGAAGCCTAACTGAATATTTTTCCTGAATTTTATACTAATTGAACTTGAAAAAGAAATTTAATTTGATTTTTTAAATAAACGATTTCACTGATTTACACGCGTTTTCCCTTGACCAAATTTTGACCGTATCACTCTTTATAAGAAGGTTCGTTTATTCAAAAAAAGATCATTCAACCCCGGGACCAGATCTTCTCTCATTTTATATACTAAAACGTATCAATCTAAATTTACAAATACGAATCTCTGAGCTCTTGAATGAAGTTCTCAATTCAGGTAATATACCAGAAGAATGGAAAGCAATCAATATAGTCGCTCTACTGAAGACAGGTAAAGATCCGAATGAATGTAATTCGTACAGACCATTAGCTATGATGAATGTGTTATTAAAACTCATTGACTGTACAGTCAAAAAGGAATTGAACGAGTACATAACAGACAATAACATTCTTCCAATTAATTCTTTTGGATTTCGAAAAAAATATATCAGCAATCAATTGCGTCAATTACTTGGTTTCTATAGTACAACAGTCAAAAAGAGAAGGTCTGGTTATGGTTGCGACATTTCTAGATTTGTCAAAAGCTTTTGATAATGTCAATGTAGATAAACTCTTAGAAACGCTTCGAAAAGAAAGTATCCCTAATCATATAATAAACTGGATATACCATTAAAGGGCGAACACGAAATTATTGCGACACATTCAACAGGGCATAACTTTTTTACCATTGGGTAAAAATCAACCAAATTTTGCACACTTTCTCATTAATGTGTATTGTGTACATGCTGTCAAACTCGAAGTCGTGTTTTTCGATTCAACGAAAATGGAGGTGAACCAACGCGAGTTGAGAGAACAAATTCTTTCCAAACACCTGGAATTTCCTGACCTGTCGCACCGGCAGTTGGGAAAAATGTTGAACATTCACCATTCAACCGTCTCCAGAGTGTTGAAGCGGTTCCAGGAGCGGTTGACGTTGGACCACGGCAAAGGAGCTGGAAGAAAACCGGAACCGGAGAACAAAAAGACGGAGGGAAAGGTGAAGCGGATGATTAAAGCAAATCCCAACGTCTCAAGCCGTGATTTGGCTAAAAAGATCGGCATGTCGCAGAGCTACGTCCAGAATGCAAAGAAGAGAGCTGGACTACATACATACAAGGTACAGAACTTCCAAACCGCGATGAGCGGCAACAATCGACAGCTAAAACTCGGGCACGGAAGCTCTACGAGAAGATGCTGACAAAATATGGCTGCTGTGTGATGGACGACGAAACGTATATAAAAGCCGATTTTAAGCAAATTCCGGGGTTGGAGTTTTTCACCGGCAAGAGCAAGTTCGATGTGGACGACAAATTTAAGAAGAAGAAAATGCCGAAGTTCGCCTCCAAATATCTCATTTGGCAGGCCATCTGCTCTTGCGGACTGAGGAATGAGCCTTTCGTGACAAAGGGCACAGTAAATGGCGAGATCTACAAATCTGAGTGCCTCGAGAAGCGCCTTTTGCCGTTCTTGCAGCAGCACGACGAAGCTCCGCTGCTTTGGCCAGATTTGGCATCATGCCACTATTCTAAAAGTGTCCTGGAGTGGTATGAGGCCAATTCTGTCCATTTTGTTCCAAAGGACATGAATCCGCTAAACTGTCCGGAGCTTCGCCCGGTGGAGCAGTACTGGGCAATAATGAAGCGGGAACTTCGGAAGAGCAAGAAGACAGTCAAAGACGAGAAGGACATGTTAAGAAAATGGAAAAAAAAAACTGAGAAACTGGTACCGGATGACACTGTAAAGACTTTGATGGAGGGCATCAAGCGAAAATGCGTTCAATTTTACACTCAAGGCTCCATCGATTAACTTTTCTTTTGATTTTTGAAGTAAATATATGTATAAAACTACCCTAAAATTTTGGTTTGATTCTAAACATTATAAGAAAATTGGCATGACATTTTCGGTGTCGCAATAATTTCGTGTTCGCCCTTTACCTTAGAAACAGAAAAACCATCTTAAAATTAAATGATGGTACTGAAATTACACACATAACTAATAGTGGACTACCTCAAGGGTGTCCATTATCCCCTATTGTATTTAACCTATACACCAAAACTGTACATAACATAATTCAGGAAGACGGAACATTGATACAATTTGCAGATGATTTCACGGCAGTAATTATTAATTATATCAGCTATTTTCACAGATTCGAAGTGTGCTTGCACATTAATTAACAACCCCAATCAAAACGAAAATTATGTGATCAAACAGCTAATAAATATAGTTGAGAAATCATCGATAGAAACAGTCTATATTCAGTGGATTCCTGGCCACATAGATTTAGTCGGTAATGACAGAGCGGATCATGCGGCCAAGCTTGGAACAACTCGAAACACTATAGAACAGATTAGTTTTACATTACAAGATTTGATTAATATTCTTAAGAAAGAAACAGAAAGCATTTGGCAAGATCAATACTCACAAATTTCATCTGAAAAAGGCAAATTTCACTTTGAACATGCTAAACAAACTTCTTTGTCACCCTGGTTTAAAAAAAATGTTATCACGCATCAGGTCGGGACACATGACAACAAAGGACAGACTAGCTACATGGAAACTGATTCCAAATGATCGTTGTGACCAATGTGACGTGACAGAGAACCTATGGCACATACTGTACGATTGTCCAAGATACTATTCGATTAGAACTGGGTTTCCAATTTTATTAAATAACACTCCCATTCAATTAATTCTAGCCAAAAAAAATTAAGCAGAATATACGGCAATAGTTGAATACCTGAAAACAATAAAACAGAATGTTTGAGTCTTAAGGATCAACTTCGAGTTTTGATAAAAAAAAATACATATCAATATATCTAATGGAATATTAACATATTAACATGACAGTTAAAAGAAAAAAAAGACAGCTGATCGCAACTGTCTCGTGGACAGCCTTATTGGATTAACACCGACGTCGGCTTGACAGCAGTCTGATATTCATGGTTCATTCTCAGGGGCTTTAAAGGGCGTACCCCTGGTGTCCAATGCCAATGACCGTGGGGCTCAAAATTAGGGCTTTTGAGTTATGGACCATGGGAAAAAAAACAAATCAAGACTAGGCCAGATGATATTTTCATTTTATGAAGCAATGGATTCTAATCGATTTGGATGACAAGCCGGTAGCCGTAATTGCACTTGTGTCGAAGCCAACCAACGTGCTTTGAAACGCAATCACTCACTAATCACAAACCGCACACGCCGAAGCAAATCCCCCTCAATCCAATCCCGTTCGGCGTAGGCCGGACAAAACTAGTCCGGTTGGGTTTATTTATTTTCAAACAATATTATATGTCCATTGCAGTAATCCACTTCTCGCATAGAGAGCTCAAGCGATAAGCACGGGAACAGGGCATGTATTGTCGGGCGGAGTTGATAGGTAACTTACCGAACACTTTCCTGCCGACTGAAGCAGCTTCCCTGGGTGGAAATCCGTGCCAAACTGGGCACAACCGTCAGCGGCAGATTTCCGATCACACTGTCCAGCGAGTCCGGTTCCTCCTCGATCACCCCGGGACGCATGAAAATCCGGGTCAGGGGTTTCTTCTCCTCCATCAAGGCTACCTGGCGGTCGGACATTTCTTGATTCGCTTTCAAACACCTGAACACCTGGATTCCAGTGCAGATTCACTTTATTTTCGTGTACAATTTCTCTTCTTATATCTCTTTTTTTTTAATAAATTCTAAGGTAAAACTTTTTCACTTATGGCATAATCGTTTGGGTGAATTTAATTCACCGTATAGCTTCTATTCTTCTCACTTTGTGTTATTTATCTCGTAAAACTGATATGAAAACCTTATTTCAAAAAATTCAATTTGTGCTATTCCTTGATTTAAAAAAAAAGCTTAACCACTTATAACCTACACTGAGCTAGCTCGAATGGAAAGTCCTGCGTTTTATTTTTACTATTCTTCAAAGCCTTCAACTATCCAAAACACCGCGTAACTGCTGAATGTTCTACTATCAACAGGTTCCGTTCATCACGACCATCATCCTCATCTCCGCTAGAATTGTTCCGCTTCGCAGATTGGTAGTTGTTCTTGTTCTACTGCGGTGGCGATGGCCGAGGCGGAGGAGCTGTCATCGGTATCATCGGTTAACCCTACCGGAGAGGTACGACAACGCGGAGACGGCGGAGGGCAATCGGACCGGACCGAACAGGAAAGAAAGAAATTAATTAAATCCAATTAGTAAACCGCCTCATCTCAACGGAGTGGCTCGTTTTCGCTCGCTTTTGACACATTTGACACTGAACTTCGGCACGCACCAAATAATGTGAGTTACATGAAACAAAAGCCACACACAGGCCGCCAGAGAGGGAGCGATCGAAGCAGTCGTTGTTAGTAAAGCGGCCTACTAAGGACTTGGTTTTCGGCTTGAGGTTAGGAGGGGATTTATTGTTTTATCTGTGAGCACACCGGTCGACTGCGATCGAGCGACTAATTTAGTCCGACTCCCGATCTACGGAAAGGGCACACCGGCCAACCGGACAGTGCCGAATGGTGCATCTCGTGTTTGCCTTTGTGTTGTGCTGCGATGTGTGTGACATATCTACGAACATCATGCGGGCAGAGGTTAGCAATTTTGTTAGCTTAGTGCGAGATGATCGACAATCGGACCGCGAGAAGAGGAAGCTGGCTTGACTGGGTTCAATTGTTGGAAAGCATGCATTCCGAACTCGCACCAAGTGCTCCAACTTCCCCTATTGGATATGACATGGAACATATGATTTAATTAAATCACAATGGACAGTGATGCTCGGTATGCGAACGGTGGCGAACTGTGTAGTGTTAGTAGCTGTGATTGTGACCCGAGCTGGTCAGCTTGAGATGAGTGGGGGTCATTAGGTCTAGTTTAACCCAATCGACATTCGCTGAGCACTGGAGGTTACGCTTGCGGAGACGGATTGTCTGGCTTGTGTACATATATGAGGCTTAGCTGGAGTTTGACAGTGTTTGTAAATCTGCCTAGCAACTAACTTTGTTGTAAATCGCTTCGCGTGAAATGATGATTGATTTATTATGGGTGAACTGTTGAGGAAATTGATACAAATAATCTGTTTGATATTCTCGCATTACTTTTTAATATAGAAAGGTAACGTTAAGTCCAATTTAACTTTCAGTTAATCCATTTTAAAATACATAGATCAATGTAAATATTCTCTCGATTAAACTTCTAGCATTTCACACCGTTGATCCGCACTCCGTGATTTCACTTATTATTCACTGCGGTGCACACTCTACGATGGCTCTACGGTGCGAAAATACTGATGTTTGATCGGGAGAATACTAACATTAATCTATCGATTTGAAGATCGATTAACTGCATTTGCATTTCAAGCTTATTGCGTGCACTCAACATAGTGTTCTAGATACACTTCCACAGTTATTAACTGAGAGCTTTCAATGCCAATACAATGATACTCTATGCCCAGGAATTTCGCGAAAATTTCCAACCTGAAAGATTCCCTTGACTGAACCGGAAATCGAACCCGCCACCTTCAGCTTGGTAATACCGCGCCTTTACTGGCTAGACTATGAGACCCTTAGCGTTAGCTTTCTATATTAAAACAGGGCTGTGGGGTTGGATCTAAATCGGTCAACTCCGACTCCTTTGATTTCAAAATAACCGACTCCGACCCCGACTCTGACTTCTGACTCCTCGACTCCGGCTTCGATTACGAACTACAATACAATAAAAATATACTTCATCCAATTTGAGTAAATTAAGAATTTAAGAAGAGATTGACAATTTAAGAAAAAGTAATCCAAGGTTAGAAAATTGATTGGTTGATTTTTTGAAGATAATTCGTAAATTTTTCAAAGATGTCCTAGTTCAGTGATATATACATTTATTTGTACAATATCACATTTAAGATAAGACATAATCAACAATAGTACGCTACAATACTCGGTTTGCGGCTGCCGCTCTCCATCCTCGGTCATGTCCAATGCTCGCTGGATCACGCTCTACCTGGTCCGCCCGTCGTGCTCTCTGCGCTCCACGCCTTCTTGTGCCAACCGGATCAGTAGCGAACACCAACTTTGCAGGGTTATTGTCCGGCATTCTTGCAACATGCCACCTTCTGGATGCAGGGTTCGCCGTAGAGTGCAGCGAGCTCGTGGTTCATTCTTCGCCGCCACTCACCGTTCTCCTGCACCGTCCTTATCAAACGTCGCTCGAAAACTCCGAGTGCATATCTCTTGTCCATAGAGGACGACCGGTCTTATTAGCGTTCTGTACATGGTACATTTGGTGGGGTTTTGACCGTAGTTTCTTCTGGAGCCCGTAGTAGGTACGACTTCCACTGATGATGCGCCTTTCGTATTTCACGACTCACATTTTTTGTCAGCCGTCAGTAAGGATCCAAGGTAAACGAATTCCTCCACTACCTCGAAAATATCGTGACATTACTTCCTAGACGAATACTGTCATGTTCGGTTCCGCCTACTAGCATGTACTTTGTTTTTGACGCACTCACCACCAGTCCGACCTTTGCTGCTTCGTGTTTCAGGCAGGTGTATAGTTCTGCCACCGTTCCAAATGTTCTTGTGATAATGTCCATGTCGTCCGCAAAGCACACAAATTGACCGGATTTCGTGAAAAGCGTACCCCGGCTGTTGAGCCCGGCTCGTCGCATTACACCTTCTAGAGCGATGTTGAAGAGTAGGCATGAGAGTCCGTCACCTTGTCGCAGTCCCCGGCGAGATTCAAATGAACTGGATAGTTCTCCAGAAACCCTTACGCAGTTTTGCACACCGTCCATGGTTGCTTTGATCAGTCTGATCAGCTTCCCCGGAAAGCCGTTCTCGTCCATGATTTTCCATAGCTCTGTGCGGTTGATACTGTGGTGTGCTGCCTTAAAGTCGATGAACAAATGATGCGTTGGGACCTGGTATTCACGGCATTTCTGGAGGATTTGCCGTACGGTGAAGATCTGGTCCGTTGTCGATCGGTTGTCGATGAAGCTGGCTTGATAACTTCCCACGAACTCGGTCATTTTAGGTGATAGACGACGGAAGATAATCTGGGATAGCACTTTGTAGGCGGCATTCAAGGCGGCTGAAGTTCTCACATTTCTTCGCCTTTCTTGTGAATGGGGCATATTACCCCCTTCTTCCACTCCTCCGGTAGCTGTTCTGTTTCCCAGATCCTGACTATCATCCGGTGCAGGCAGGTGGCCAACTTTTCTGGGCCCATCTTGATGAGTTCGGCTGCGATACCATCCTTACCAGCTGCTTTGTTGTTTTTGAGCTGCTGAATGGCATCCTTAACTTCCCTCAGTGTGGGAGTTCCGTCCTCTGCTGCACTGACGTAGTCGTTTTCTCCATTGCGCTGGTCTCCCGTGCCAACGCTCTCCTCGCCATTCAGGTGCGCCTCGAAGTGCTGCTTCCACCTTTCAATCACCTCACGTCCATCCGTCAAGAGGCTCCCGTCCTTATCCTTGCACATTTCGGCTCGCGGCACGAAGCCGTTGCGGGATGCGTTGAGCTTCTGGTAGAACTTCCGTGTTTCTTGGGAACGGCTCAGCAGTTCCATTTCCTCGCACTCCGCTTCATCCAGGCGGCGTTTTTTTCTCCCAAAAGATGCGGGTCTGCTGTTTCGGCTTCTGTTTATACCATTCCACGTTCTGTCGGGTTCCATCTCTCCGAGGCAACGCTGCCTCGAGATTCTGCGGTTGTACCGTGGCGGGCGTCGGTACCGTACATTGTTGATGACGGAAAGTTTTTGACGCAGTTTGACCACAGACAAACAGACATAACGCTCACAAGTTGTTCATCGAGCAAGCTTTTTAACGGTCAATTTAAAAGTATCTCAGTACTGCCACCGTCATCTGTTCAGCGTAGTACCCACCACAGTGTACTCAACAGATGGCGGTAATGTTTTAGCGACGATATTTTACAATGAGAAATATTCAATGTGTTATGTCTGTTTGTCTGTGGTTTGACCATCACCAGGTAGTGTGTCAGAGTCGATGTTAGCGCCACGATAGATCCTGACGTCGATAATGTCGGAGAAGTGCCGTCCATCAATCAGAACGTGGTCGATTTGCGATTCCGTCTGCTGTGGTGATCTCCAGGTGTAACGATAGGGGAGGCTGTGTCGGAAGAAGGTGCTACGTATGGCCATGTTCTTGGAGGCGGCGAAATCGATGAGCCGTAAGCCGTTCCCGTTCGTCAGCTAGTGGGCGCTGAACTTTCCAATCGTCGGTCTGAATTCCTCCTCCTGGCCTACCTAGGTCTCCTATGATGATCTTGACGTCGTGGCTTGGGCAGCGATCGTACTCGCGGTCGAGCTGCGCGTAAAATGCGTCCTTGTCATCATCAGTGTTTGCAGAGTGAGGGCTGGTCACGTTGATTATGCTAAAGTTGAAGAATCGGCCCTTGATCCTCAACCTGTACATTCTTTCGTCGATCGGCCACCAACCGATCACGCGCTTCTGCTAGTTCAGTGATACACATATTAATTAATAAACAAAACGAATATCAATACAGTAAATCATGCCACGTATTTAGTGAAATCATGAGAATATATTTGAGTAAAAATGTTCGAAAATTTAAATACTCCGAAAACTCAAATTGACTACTTCTTATAGTGTTAACAAATTCGATGCGATCCATGTTTGCTGATGATACAAACATAGACAAACAGACATAGCCCTCGCAAGTTGATCATCGATAAAGAACATTTTAAATGTTTCTTAGTTGATTTTACCGCCACCTGCGATGGGCATAGTCAATTCCCTTGCGTTTGATGTTTCCACATTGTCGACTTCCCCGGGCTTAGAGTATGATCACAGACAAACAGACATAATTCTCATAATCACATTCTTCGCAAATAAGGTTTAAGTTGGGAATGTAGTCGCATTTGTCATGGTGGTGCCACTGAAGCGTTAAGCAAGCCACCACATTTCTAACTTGATAAGGGGGGCAAGGCATCCCACTACAGCAAGTAACACATACTAATCTTAAGAATACAGAAAAAAAAGTTGTTGAATATTAGATCCAAACAGTAGCATATTGGTAAATTCGATTGTTGTGTAATATTGCGCTGTTCGATGCACACAGAATTTGAGAACAAATCATTTTGAAGACAGTAACA